TTGGTATAACCATTCAAAAGGCTTTTGAAAAAGAAAAGCAAGAACCAACAAAGTTTATCATGCTGTTTTGTTATTTTCTTTACGTTTGTTGCGGTTTTTTGCTCCATGAAACTTGAACTACCAAATTACATCTAAAATAAGTTTTGTTGTACATTTTCACACAGTCAGGATTGGTTTTCTATACTGACCAAAAGAAAAAAAAATGAAAAAAAGCAGCAACAACAAACAGAATGTAAAAGACCTGAGTGAAGGTTTGCTAAATTTTGGGTAATTGAACCAATATTCTCAAATTTGGACAATTATACCGTCTTCAAAGTTCCGCAAGTGAGCGAAAAGACGGAGACGCATCCAGCAAACTTCAAGCCAGAGCACGTAGCGTCCCAGCGCAGCCCGCTTCCCATTGCACCGCGCAATAAACTGCCAGACTTCCCGTTTATGCTGTATGTAAACGATTTTGAAGGCAAAAGGTGAGAGGGGGAGGGGAGGGGAAGGAAGGTTTTTAAGCTCCGCTTAATTCGCTTGCTCCCCTCCCTCACCTCTCCCCCTTTGGCCGACCACCTGAGTATAAACTTTATAAAAAAAGCTCTTGCTGTCTTCTCATAGCTCTTTCCATTTTTTAGCAAAAAGCACTTTTGAGTTCCTTCATGTTTTGATGAGTCTTATTTAAAGAGGCCGTCCTCAAAGTTAGGTAATTAATCAATTTGAATTTTTTTCTAACAAAGAAGAACGTTTGTAAATCGTTTGGTTTTTTCTGCTTCTTATATAATGTTTTCAACCAGCTCTCGACGAGTTGTTTTGGCCACACAGCAGAGGAATCAGCGCGTATTTCTAATCGTTATCAGCAAATCAAAAATACTGTACATGATATCCATATAATGTATCAAAAAAAAACAATCTAATGATTGGCTACTGCTCGCAGCCAGTCAGCGTGATGGAACCACCAAAATAAACCAATCTTTTTTTCTGCGTAAATAACATATGGCAAGAAATTTTAGTCTGAAGCTTGATAACACTCACTTAGCCAGCCTTTTAATATTTACTGCGGCCAACATCTTTCTCATAATAATCATCTTTTCCTATAGAAAAAACATTTGTTGATAAAAAATATATAAACGAGCAGATTAGAAACAGTTTGTGTCTTTATTACAAGGTACATCGGCAAGTAAAAAGTTTTTACATTTAGGTACACTTCAATTCCCTTCGAAGAAAATGTAGTTGCAAAATAGAATATATGCATTAAAAGCATTCTGTGATAATGCAGTTTTTCTTCTATAAACACTGTTTTTAATCAATATTCAAAACAAGTATTTTGATACCTAGAAGCTGTCCTTACAGAAGCTTTTGTACGTTACAAATTTGGCAATAAAAAATGAAATAGAACCGGGTAGGTATATTGTCAGAGTAAAAAAGATTATTTCATTTAATTACTGCCAATTAGCCCACCCCAACCAACTTTAAAAAACAACAAGAACAAGGGAACATAAATCAGATTGAGAAGGTATTTACATCATTAAGAAAATTACTTCACAAATTTAGTGCTTGTCCGCCTGACAAAACCAAAGCAAAAAATGTCTCTTAATTATGCAAAATACCCGTCTATGATTATCTCCTCCAGTATCTCACGATACAACTTTCTAATACATTTATTAGCATGTTGATTGAAATGAGCCGAGTCATCGTAAAATGAGAACAGGTTATCAGGATCAAAAACGCGGCAAACCTGAAAATTGTTCACTATTTAGTTTCGATCTCTATTGTTTTTTCACTTTTCACTACCAAAAACTGTTTTTGCAAACAAATCTTATAGTTTAAGGCGAAATTATCACAGAGTCTAAATGAGAGTTAAGACCGCATCGACAGGAAGCACCAAAAATCTCAAAAGTAACCTTTGAGTCACAGAATATTTTGTGTGGATAAATCTTCACGCACTTTCTGCATTTTAAACTCTCTAGACGTTTGATGGCATAATGAAACTGCTTGCGAAATTCAGGAAAGCTGTTATAAACCCCTTCAAAACTTATATTTTTCTCTAAATTCTTCAGGATCAGTGCCGTATTAACTCTGCAACATTTATTTTTTGAGAAATAGTCGACCATATGTGCCTAAAGGTTACTCCTCACATTATCCAAAAAACGCTGACCTTAAAAAAAAAATTTAAAAAACACATGCAGAATGAATTTTACATAACAAAAAAGCCACCAACCAAAAGCATTTTAGCTGAGAAAAGTAGAAAAAACGTAAGTTTGTTAACTGCGACCACAACTTAAAAGCTGACTTTTGCGGCCTAGGAAGCGGCATTTGTAGTATAATGGCTTTTGATATTTGCGAATAGAATTCCACGGTGCTCTGCATTAATGGCATGTATATATCGTTTTCAATATTGCGAAACTCGTCATTCAAACCAAACATTGGCCTGGAATGCTCATCACCACTTGGGCTCTTATCTGTTATATTTCAACTTTTAAAAATGCAAATTTGAAAAAAGAAACTTTCTGCATTAGAATCTGCAAAGAGAAAAGAAAAAAGTTACAAATACAATAGCGAAAACCAAAAGTATTCAATCCTAGAAAATGACAAAAGCACCTGAGAAATTTTATTGCTACTGCTTAAATTTTTTTCTTACAGTTAATCCCCGTAGAACATTTTCGTAAGAATGCCAGGACTTACGTGAAAATGATAAAGATCAAATCGGGTTTCATTTCTTGTACAAGCTGGGTAGTCATCTCAAAATAAGGGGGGCAAGTTTTAGCATAGTATGAATATTCGTATCTTGTGCAGTTAAAAAATGGTTGACAGCCTGGATGAGCCAAAAGCCTAATTTCTTTACTGTCTTTCGCAAAAGCTTCCACAACCGCGGGAAATGCAAACCAAGCGAAACTATTTCCTATAACCGCAACAAACAGTTTTCCACTTCCCTAAAGTGGTTACGCCTAGATAGGTTGATGGTGACAGCAAATTTTTAAATCAATGTTTTGGTGAGTGCTTGTAAAATATTACTCAAAAATCAATCTTCGTTTTTTTGGCAATAAGTTTTATCCAGTAAAATATAGTTTGCTTACGCTCATTTCACTAGGATTAGAAAACACCTTAAAATAATCGGGGAAATCGATTCCCGTCCCTGTTTTTTTGAAATACTTCTCATGCAACGGATCCTTTAATTTCATAATTTGCTTATAATTTAATGGTTTTTTCTTCCTGTAAATCCGATTTGCCTCAATCGCGATTCGCAGCGAGGAAGGGTCAAGTTTTACTGCTGGAAGATAGGAGACATCACGAAAGCCATAGCAGTTGGCCTCTAAATAAAGAACGCAAGCTTTACTCATATGTCAGAAACAACTATTAAGTATTGACTGCCACAATTTGACAAGTGTGAGGTACGAACGGTTTCCGAAGAAATGCAAAACATAGTGAGCGTAGAAATATATTTTTTGTTGAACTTGTGCTTTTCTTAAAACTAACTAAGCTTGAAGAATGACCAGATATTAAGAAATAATATGCAGAAAACTAGTTTTACCGAATCTGGTCTTAGCACTTTTCTCAAAGACGGCTGACTCATTCATGGGATAAGCCGTTTTGACCTCAAAACGATCACGAACGGTAGAAAACAAAGCCAAGTATAAAATACCAAATGTTAGAAAGATAATAAAACGGAAAGTGTAGCAGAATCCCCACTGAAGAAATTTTTTTTCGATGTATTGGTACGATAAATAACCAACGAAAAATGAGAGCTCTGCAGCAATAATTGCAACTAAAAACACAAAATTTTGCTCCCCTTCAAGTGCTTGTTCATTTATAAGAACAGTTATTTGCTTTTGACATAAAGAAGCGAAACTATAATTATTTTTTTTTTTTTTTT